GACCCAAAACAATATTTCTAATTCAAAAATTAGTCTCCTAAATCAATTGCCCTGACTACTCAAGATATACACTTTTAGGTTAAAGCTGAGTTTATAAAACAAGAATGGGAGACATGCGGTAAAGATCACTTAGGACCTAAGCTGGCCAGATCAGCTGTGTCATGTCAGCCCAGCCTGACAGACCCCATCTTATTCTCACTATGTATGCTTTCAGGTTTCTTGGTCTGGATGGGTCAGTCAATCCGCTGGAATGCTGGGCCTGGAAGATATCTCAAAAACTACCCCTAGGTTCTGAACAGGTGATGTTTTCTACAGAGAAAAGTTAAGGATCTTTACAATTACCAGCTGTGCCCTTTAGCGTAGCAATTACAGAGAAGCAAATGAGAGAACAGTGACTATTATCAAGCAAATGAGGGGACAGTGGCTCACTATTACCATTATTTTAGCTAAGCCTGTTCCTTCACAGAGTTTGATTATTATTATTACTTTAGTCAGGACTGTTTCTTCAGAGTTTGGGGGTCCTTACCCTAGTTTTCTCCTTGCAACCTTCCTTCAATCTATAATGGTGGTTTCAGTAACATGGAGGACCCAAAGGAAAACTTCCCATTTATCCTCACTTAAAAAAAAAAATTCCACTAACAAAAGGCAGATTAATAGGAGAAATGACTAACAAATTTATTAGCATGTCCAGGGGTTGGGGAGGCAGGGAATTACAGAATGATTACCTCATCAAGCAATGGAGTATAAGTGGTTAATATATATATATATATACTTCTTAGGGGAAAGGGAGATGGGGAAGTATGAATGGTATTAGGGGGGTAGTAAATGAGTTTTTTAGAAAATCAGTGGGCTTGAAGGACATATGTTGGCTTAGGACAAAGTGTGCTGGGCCTACAGAGCAGACAATGGATTGTGACAGAAGTCTGTCCAGGTTTGTTAACAAATGTCCACCTAAAAAGAAGAGGATAAAGCACAAAATATTATCAAAAGAGTTTATTGAGCCAAAATGCGGACAGCTGCCCAGAACTCTCAGACCCAAGTAACTTTGGATATGAACTCTGTTGGCCTTTGTTATAAGCAGGTTTTTAAAAGCAAGAAAAGGGATGGCAGTTCAGCACCTGTGGCTCAGGGGGCTAGGGCACCAGCCATATACACCAGAGCTGGGGGGTTTGAATCCAGCCCAGACCTGCCAACCAACAATGACGGCTGCAACCAAAAAATAGCTAGGCATTGTAGTGGGTGCCTGTAGTCCCAGCTACTTGGGAGGCAGAGGCAAGAGAATCACTTGAGCCCAGGAGTTGGGGGTTGCTGTGAACTGTGATGGCACTCTACCCAGGTTGACAAAGTGAGACTCTGTCTCAAAAAGAACTTACAGACTTCAGTCTTTCTTTCTGTGATGTAATATAATTTTTCCCCCCTTTGGCAGATGAGGGAACTTCAGAGAAGAACTTGATCCTGTGCTTTGGGAGAGACAGAGGATGAGACACAGGGGACAGGGTGGGGGGTTAGAGTGGAGGAGATAGACCTTGAGGCTTCTTCTTCAGTCCTGCAAGTCAAAGTGCCATATTCTGGGGTTATCAGTTTCTGAGCCACTAGGGGTCCTCAAACTTTTTAAACAGGGGGCCAGTTCACTGTCCCTCAGACCTCAGACAATTGGAGGACCGGACTGCAGGCCCTGGGATGAGTGGGCTGTAAGCAGGACAGGCAGCAGTGGCAAAAACACCCAGTGGGCCACCTGTGGACACTTGGCCTAAACAATGAGAAGGAAGAATGGCAGGTAGGGGAAAACTACTGAGAAAACCACAGGAGAAGAGGAGGTGCCTCTGGATCCCAAAGCCAAACATAAAGACTTTTGATTGAATCAAAAGAAGACAATGTTTGTTCATTCACTCATTCATGCAATAAATATTTATTCAGCATCTAGAAAATGCCAGGCACTGTTCTAGACCTGGAATACACCAGGAATTAAAACTGACAAAGCAATTCCTATCATCAAGAAGCTTACCTTCAGCTCGGCTCCCACACTACCGAGGCATGGAACAGATTCCTTTTGAGACTGTCTCAAAAAAAAAAAAAAGAGAGAGAGAGACAGAGAGAAGCTTACATTGTATATAAACAAACAGGTAAAATATGTAGTATATCATCTGGTGATATGTCTTATGGAGATAAATTAAGCAAGAAAGAAGGATAGACTTGAGAAAGAAAAAGAAAATTTATCTGAGGAATGTGAAATGATCAGGCTCAGAAAGGCATTTAAATGTGATAATCTCACTCTCCCCTTGAACTAAGTAATCATCTCACCTCCTGAAGCCTCCTGCTAAGTGAACTTTAGGCTAGGGCCAAACAGTCATAAAATTAACTTAACAATATCACATCCTAGACCCCACAATGCATACCCAGTTAAACAATGTACTTATGACCAATCGCTAATCATTGTTATTTCTATAACCAATGAGAATTCCTGTTAAACAACTTAGCATCAGCCCATTCTTTATTCCTTTATGTCTTTAGGAAGCTGCTTGTAACAAAGGCCAAAAGAAGCACTTGCCAGGGCAGCTCGTGTTTCACAGACTGCTGTCCTCACTTTGGCTCAAATAAATTCTTTATATTTTGTGCCTCAGCTTCTTCCTTTTGATCAACAGAGTGCTGATAGAAAGGACTATTCCTCTCTCAATAGTGGAAGTATTAATATAGTATCTACAGTGTGTGCTAAATGTTTTAGGGTAGAGATGCATACACTCATTTGTTCATTAAATATGTATTGATTATTGTCTATATGACATTCACTGTGCTAAGCCCTGGGGAAACAGGTCTCTGCCATAATGGAACTTCCCTGTTAGTGAGACAGTCATTTAATAATGCACTGTTCAAAACGTACAATTACAAACTAAAGTAAAAGTTACAGATGGAATGGAATGCGTATATGTATTAACACTAAAATAAGGGGATTGCAGCAGCCATCTCTAAGTGATATCTGAGCTGAGATCAAATAATAAAAACATTTGTTATAAACTATTGTAACTAAAACAGTGTAGAATTGCCACCAGTTGGGGCAACTAGGTCAATGGGCCTAACAAGGCAAATTAGGTTCATGACACATTATCTTATGCTTATTAGGTTGTCAAAAATTAATTGTCCAGGCACTGGCAAGGCAAGTAGGTGGTGGTGGTGGGGCTGTCCGCTGCATGTGCCTGGTTTGTGGGCTTGATGGTATGTGTTTTGGAAGTGGGGGTTGGAATGGCATGGTATGGTACGATATGGTATGAGGGTTCCTATGTTAAAGTCAACCCTCAGCACCTCAGAATGTGACCTTATTTTGTAAGGGCCAGACCAGCGCCATTTTGTTGTCTACTACATAAGCTCTGTTAAACAGCAGGGCTACTCCCTGCTGCTTCCCCCACCCCTGGTTGCACAGCCATTAAGCCGTTGAATTGAGTCACCTAAGGCAGACAGCAGCCATAATAGGCAATACGTATCAGTTCCCTTGAACAGCTCCCATAATAGGCAAAAAATTTCTACTTCCTTGAAATTCAGGTATTCTCCTTCCTAATTAGGCTACACCACCTCTAGCCCCCGTTAAGAAATCCCCTACCCCTCACCTGTACCAATCCAAATCCTCCTTTACTAGTGAAATCATCAACCATCAATGCAAATCCTCCTTTACTAGTGAAATCACCAACCACCAATCAAGAGTGTACTTGTAAGGGACCCTACCCTTCTTGCTTTCTGTACCCCATAAAAACTTGCTCTACCCCAAGTTCCACCTCAGCTTGCAAGCCAGGAGAGTCCAGACCCGGGTCTGAATAAAACTCACCTCTTGCTTTTTATATCGAGTGTGTCTCAGACTGTTTGTTGGGGCCACTTGAGAGAATTTTTGGGCATAACACTTTGAAGATAGGGTCTTTACAGAAGTAATCAAGTCAAAATGAGGTCATCAGGATGGACCCTAATCCAATTTGAACACACATAGAGAAAAGTGCCTCCTACAAACAGAAGAGAGAGGCCTGGAACAGATTTCTTCCCTTACAGCCTTCAGAAGGGAACCAACCCTGCCTGCTCCTTGCTTTTGGACTTCTAGTCCCCAGAACCGGGATAGATAGATAGATAGATAGATAGATTTTTTTTTTTTTTTTTTTTTTTTTTTGGTCTGGGGCCAGGTTTGAACCCGCCACCTCCAGTATATGGGGCCGGCGCCCTACTCCTTTGAGTCTCAGGCGCTGCCCGAGACAATATATTTTTGTTATTTAAGCCAGTTTGTGGTACTTGATTACAGCAGCCCTAGCAAATTAAAACAGGTGGGCATCTATTTCTTGACTCTCAGGCAGGCTCTGCAGGCAGGGTGGGAGGGGATACTGAGGATCTGAAAGGGCTGTGAAGAACCTCTCTAACTGTCGCTCATTCTTAGGACATTCTTAGGTCAGTGCTGGGCGCTTGTTACCTCTGTCCAGGTAGTGAATCAATGAACTGAATGTGTAAATGTCTTCCACTCATTTATACTCCGCTTCAGCCCCACTCTGAGAACACTTGGCCCTGGAGCAGGTTCAGAGTAGGAGGCGCTCATGAGAAGTGTTGAATGAGAAGTAGTTATGTGCTCGTCCAATCGCTCTGAATTCCCATTCGCTTTACCAGATTCCCTTCCTCCACCCTTGCCGCGACTTAAAACAAGCTGAATAGCTCTCGGCCACAGTTGCTCTGACTGTGCGAGAGAGTCGGGATGCAGAACCGGCAGGCCGCGGAAGCCCAGGTACCCCGCGCGGCCCTGGGGGCAGGGCTGGCTCGGAGCCGGAGTCACGCGAGAAGGAACCTCCCGACCCCGGCCCTCCGGAGGGGAGCCAGCCGCCGAGGCCGGGCCGCTGCCGGGTCCCCCAGCCTGCCGGTCCTGCCCGCGCCTCTTGGGGTCCTGGGCGCGCGTCTCGGGCCTCGGCCGGTTCCCGTCCGCCAGGCGGAGCTGCAGGGCGGCCCCACCGGTCGGCGGGTCCAGCCAGCCGAGGCTCGCCGACATGTTGGGCATCTCGTTCCGGGTGGGTTCGGCCGAAGCGGCGCCGCGGCGGGTCGGCCCGATAGGAAGAGGCCCGAGGCCCGGAGCCGGGAACTTCAGACGGGGAGGCTGGAACCGGCGAGGGAGGCGAGGGAGAGGCCGAGGAGGCGCTGCCAGCCCGGGGGCGGGACCGCGAGGGGCGGGGAGAGGGGCGGACTCTGGGCGGGCGCCGATTCCAGGAGGCGTGGGGGAGCCGGGCCTCTGGCGTCCCCGCGGGAGACGAGAGCCTGCAGATTTTTCTCTGGTCTGCCTGGGGTGGGCAAATGAGCTGGCGGGTCTTGTGGGGTCGGGTGGCAGAGTTGGGGACCGGTGCGGGGAGGTTGGCCGAGCCTCTGGCAGGTGAGTGTCCAGGCCTCCTTCGCTTGCCCCGGAGGGTGTTGGTGAGTCCCCAGGTCCTAGGTCCTGGAGAACCCCCTACTACTAGGGGGCTAGAGCTGCTCACCCCACTTTCTGTTTTTAGGCGCTGGAGCTTTCATTCCAGATTATGTTAGCAGTAATGTCCGCCCGGAGGGATTCCCAATGTTAGCACATCCTGTAGCCAGGATCAAGGCAGTTGGGCAGGAGGGGGCTGTTGACATGAACACTGGAGGCCATGTGTCTGGCCTGGTCCAGGGGGTCAGTGTGACCCTACAGCTGCCCCTCTCTACCTTCTTGGCCTTCACAAGCACAGCCTGCCTTCTGTGTTAGGACCTCTTTCTCTCTGCCTGTTTCCTTCAGTTTCTGTGGCTGGTGTGGGAAGGGTATGTCGTACCTGAGAGCTGCCCTCCCCAAGGTGGGCAGAATCTGAGGTGCCCTGCTCATATTGTCTGCCAGGACCCATCTGTTCTCCTGGCTATTAGTGTCATTGGGATCACAGTGCTCCTGTTGGCCCTGAAGAGCAGGAATTCCAGGAAGAAAAATCTTACCACCTTACAGGACCCTGAAGAAAAGTACTCACTGCCCTTGATTGACAAAGAGGTATTGGGTCAGCCCTGGCGAGTGGAAAGAGAGGACCAGAGTGGGGGGAAGCTGGCTGTGAAGGCAAGGCCGCCAGTCCTCTCCTGGCCATGAGTTTGCTCTCTACTGTCCCTGGGTGTGTGTGTGTGCTGGGGGAATGCTAAGCTTAGCTGTCCAGCAAGGCATTTAGAAAACTGACAGAGCATGTCTGTGTTTTGTTTTATTAGAAAATCAGCCACAACACCCGGAGGTTTCGCTTTGGACTACCTTCCCCAGACCATGTCTTAGGGCTTCCAGTAGGTGAGCAGGGTTTGGTGTTCTCCCCAGGACTGAATCCTTTCAGGGCTAGGCACTCTGCTCCTATCAGAAACACAGGTTTCCAAAGTGTGAAAGATCTTAAGGGAGCTTAGGTAGATGGATGTGGGCACATGGATGTACATTCCCTTTGTTCGTTGTTCCATTTGGGCTGACACAAACGTAGTCACTCAGCCTAGAGTCAGGAGGTCAAAGACAATGATTTTCAACCAGTGTGCTGCAACAATTTTTAAAGATCATTAATCGAATTATTTTCCAAAGCAGTTCAAAGCACACAAAGTATATTGTGTTTTTATTGTTCTTTTTTGATCAGCATAATTTAAGTGTGCTGTGGAAGTTTATAGGTTCAAATATGCTGGGAGATAAAAAAAGGTTGAAAAACACATGGAAAGATAAAAAGGTTGAAAAACACATGGAAAGCTCCTTGCTGGGCAACCTTAGACAAGTCCCTCAACTTCTCTGAGCCTCAGTGGGAGAAACAGGATTTCCTAGGTCTACTTGCCTGTCTCACTTAGGTTGTTGTGAGGGTAAAGTGAATGGTGGATATGAAAATTCAGAAACTGCAAGGAGCTGTACACATGGGAGGGATGAGGAACCGATGCTCCATGATAGGAAAAAGGTCCAGAATGTATGGGTAGGCAGGAGTGAGTTAAGTGTCCCCTACCCCCACCGTTATTTGCATTCTCCACAGAGGCCTCAGACCCACAGAAGGAGGGTCCTACTGTGGATACTAGCCCTAGGAGTCCTAGAGTTATCATATTTCTAGTCCATACCACCACGAGACACTAGATAGCTAAGATGCAGAACCTTTGCTAGGTCCAGGGATCCAGAGCAGCTTTGTACAAACTGCTAGTGCTGCTTGCCTGCCTGCTGGAGATCCCACGGTCTGCAAGTCTTATATGCACAGGACAAAACCTTGACCTCAACCTTATCAGGTGATAACATTATATACTAGGCAGCCAGTGGGGCCCAGAGCCTCTGTGCTACTCCCTCACTCCCCCTCTCTGTAGGAAAGCTCAGTGTCCTGCTGCATCCCAGCCTTCAGCCAGTCCTATCAGACCAGTCTCATGGGCAGGAACCCTAAAAGAATAAAAAATGTTGAGAAATAAAATTTATTAGACACTGCTTTGACCCATTCCCACCTTAGCCCTGTTGTAGGGCAGTGCAAATTAGTAGGACAAGGTAGTATAGAGGTTTCTCTTCTGGGAGAGTCTGGTATGAAGGCTCAGAGGTTGCTGGTGCTTCCCAGCTCTGCTGAAATGAAACTGGTTAGAGAGGGGACCTGAGGGGACATTCAGGTTAGTTGTCAGAGGGAGACTGCCTCAGGTTATTTATTTCTGAGTATTCTTGGTGCCCACATGGACCATGGCCAGTCATTGAGCCTGTTTTTTCTCAGCCTAGAGTTTTTGATCTCCTAGAGACTTAGGCTCATGCTCCTGAAGCAACTCCAAGAACCAGTCCCTGTAGTCCCCCCGCCCCTTCCATCTGTGTTCCTGTCAGCATCTCTGTTCCATCTTCCTTCATCTCTTGACCAATTTCCTGTGTGTACTCAATTTCTACTTCCCCGGAAACTGGCTTTCTCTTGCCTCTAGCTCTTAGCATCTCTTGATTACATCTCCTGCCTACAGCATCTTTGTCATTTAAGTCTCCAACCTTGGATCCAGCAGAAGTCTGAGCTAGCCAGCTCATCCTCTGACACTGGCATATTGTCATGACCCATAGGTCTCTGGCCACACTGAGTCTACTGAATTCTACCCTGGAGAATGTGGTTTAAAACTTCACTGTTGCTCTTCAGTAGAGCCCTAGGCCAGGAAGAGTGCTATTGTCTCATTTGTCCATACCTGTCTAAATCCTGGGCCCTGCACTGTCTGGGAGCCCAGGCCCACTATGTGTTTGGCACCAGATTCAAATGGGATAGCTGTAATTTATTCATAGGTCCCCATGGTATATCCAGTTTTTGAGAAATGAGCTTATGAAAGTAACATATTTTTCTTGAAAAGAAAATCAGTCTTTTCTGTAATTTTTAGTTTACCCTTCAATTTTAATTAGCTCTTCCTGCTCCACAAAGCACTTACATTCTGATCATAGCTGGGCAGATGTATCATCCTTATTTTATAGGTGAAGACACCAAAACCCAGAGAAGTAAAGACTTGCCTGGGGAAGCACAGGGCATGTCCAGGGCAGACCTAGGGTCCAGGTGTACTGGACCTGGCTCTTTGCTTGTTTGTTTCCTCCCCTACATCCTGCTGCAGTATTTGCCCCCGTCTTGATGCTTAATCCTGCATGGGGTTTCTGGGTCCTGTCTAGGCCAGCCACACTTAACACTTCACATTTGATGCCTTTTCTGTAGGTAACTACATTCATCTCTTGGCCAACATTGAAAATGATTTGGTGGTCAGGGCTTACACACCTGTCTCCAGTGATGACGACCGAGGCTTTGTGGATTTAATTATAAAGGTAGATGATGCCACCTATGCCCAGCTGCCTTGTGCTTCCAAGGCTGTCGAGGGTGGTGGGGTGGAGGGGAAGTGTGCTTTTTCTCTGAGGGGGCACAAGTCCTGGATAGGGCTTTCCAGTTTCATTTAACAGTAAAGCTATGGTTTACCTTATGGTGTCTTCAGGGATTGCCTACAGCAGCTGTGAGGGTAGAGCATTTTCTCTGTACAGCTTTCAGTGGCAAAATGCATTTTCTAATTGTGACCTTAGGTCTGGGGGTATAAAAAGTCTTCTACCTTGTTTTGCAGATCTACTTCAAAAATGTACATCCCCATTATCCTGAGGGGGGAAAGATGACTCAGTACTTGGAGAACATGAAAATTGGGGACACAATTCTTTTTCGAGGGCCAAATGGGCGTCTCTTCTATCATGGGCCAGGTACTGGGGGTTTTATAGTGGGTTTCCAGCTGGAAGGAGTAAGATTCCTGCAGTGGTTCTATTCTGGAATACTCATCAGATTTGAGTCACATGGGCTTGTCCTTAAAGTCTTCATATGTTTATTCACGCATAGTTATAAACATGCCCATCATCCATTCAGGAATGTGTAAGCTTCATTAAAGTGATTTGGTGTGCCCTCATCGCTGTTATTTCCAGCACAGTGTCTGATGTTATAAAAGGTGTCTGCTAAGACCAAAAAATGGATAGATGAATGACATCTAAACTCACTCCCGTGTTCATCATTTATTCACTAACTCACTGCTATGGAGAGAGTACTCTTAGAGGCTTCATATTAACTTCAGCTTGCTTCTCGCTTTCCTCAGAAGAGGCCCCAGGAATTCCCTGAGGTGGCCCAGGCTTTATTTGCACTTCGTGCATTGGTGCACCAGGGCTGGCCGAGGAGGCTGCCTTCGCCTGCATCTCTGGCTTAAAATGGTGCAGATAATCCCTTAACGTGGACTTGCCTCCTGGAAGTCCCAAGGAAAGTCAGTGATCTTTTACTATTCTCAGGCCAAGAAGTCAGAAGTCAGAAACGTTCTTGTGTTTCCAGGGAATCTTGGAATCAGACCAGACAAAACCAGCAAGCCTGAAAAAAAAATGGTTCATCACCTGGGAATGATTGCTGGGGGCACAGGTAAGAGGCTTCTGGGGACTTTCTCCAGAGGGTTAGCACTTAGACTATTCTGCCTTGGAAGAGATGACTGACGGGAGAGATTCCTCCCCTAGCTGTGGTAGGTAGGAACAATAGACCAGTGACAGGTCTTGATACTGACCTTGTGTGCCCTGCTCCCCCTAACCATGTGGTGGCCAATGGGGAGTCATGGGAAGCCTCCTAAGTTGGGGGAGGATGGGGCAGACTGGGCAGGTCTGCCCATGGTCAAGAGCTCCTGCATCTAGTTCAAGCCTGACTCTTCGTGTCCCTTGAAAATGAACACCTGAAAGAGAACAAATCCCTAAGGAAACACACTGTGTGCTAGACACTATAATAGGCACTTTTAAAATTAATACATTCACTTGTCATTGTTTTATAAATGAAGGCCCTGAAGAGCTCAAAATTCCCTGTCCATCTTGTCATATGAAAGTGGGAAAGGGCTTCTGACTTACTATTGCCTTAGGAAGAAAAACCAAAATGAAGGTCTGTTCCTCACTTTTGAGTTTTGGAGACAGTATTCAGGAAAGTGTAATCGGGGCTAAGGAAAAACTATGGAGGTGCTGTGGGCTGGGGGCTGGGGCTTCAGAGACCAGGAGAAAGCTGGCCTGCCTGCCCACTGTGTTCCAGGCATCACGCCCATGCTGCAGCTCATTCGCCACATCACCAAGAACCCCAAGGACATGACCAAGATGTCTCTCATCTTTGCCAACCAGGTCAGTTCTGCCGAGTCAGCCCTGATGTGCAGGGGTAAGAATGGAATGTTCCCTGAACTGGGGCTCTGTTTTCATTCCTCCCCCATTGACAGCTCCTGCTGGTTGGGAGCCTGTGGCTGTGGGAGGGACTCTGGCAGCTAGAGGGGCTGAGGCCAGCCTGGTTTTGCTGGCTTGTTTTTTTTCCTGTGTCTTCCTCGCCAACCCTGAGTACTGAGCTTTCCTTTCTTCCCTAATACATGTTTCTGTTTTTCTGAGTGCCCTCAGTGGAAATTTTGGAAAATACCAAATATTTAACTTATTTTTTGCCTATTTTTAGTTTTTGGTTATAAACAATATGGTGATAAATAATTGTGCCTAGCTTGATTCTTTTAGATTATTTTCTTAAACAGAATTCTTGGGACAAGAATCATGAAATTTTGGATGGGCATGGTGGCCAATGCCTATAATCCTAACAAATTGGGAGGTCAAGGTGGGAGGATTGCCCAAACTCAGGAGACCAACCAAAGCAAAGCGAGACCCCATCTTCTACTAAGAAAAATAAGTGCAGTATTGTGGTAGTACCTATAGTCCCAGCCACTCAGGAGGCTAAGGAAGGAGGATCACTTGAGCCTAGGAGTTTGGAGGTTGCTATGATCTAGGCTGAAGCCATAGCACGCTATCCTGGGCGACAGAGTGAGAGACTTGAAACAAAAACCAAAAAACTCCAGAATCGTGAAATTTTAAGATCCAGGTCTTCTGCTGTGCCTTATCCCGGAGCATGTTCTGACTGTGGCTAGCTTTTCCCCACATGAGGCTCCAGACTGTTTTCCTCTCCTTCATACCCCTAGTGCTTGCACATGACTTCCAGAGCCCCTTATATTCCTTGAAGATCCAGGGCCTGCTCTGAGCTTATTCCATCTGGATTTGCCACACCTTGAGCCCAGTGTGGATGTAGGATATGGGCCTGGGATCTCTGAATGAAGCAACTCCAGCCGAGCCCAGTGGTCCTATCAGCTGGAGGCAGTCACTGCAGCTCTATGGAATATGTACACCCTTCCACCAACTCCATCCACAAGACAGAGGATTTGACCTGTAGGAGTAGCTGCAGAGCTCTTTTTTGCCCCGAGAGTCTAGGTGACACTCAAGCTGGGGTGGTGGGATATGCTTACATATGATCCATTGTGTATTCAACCTGGGGAACAATGGAATGCCCCTGGAGGCATTCTAGTGTTGCTTCTTTTTTAGACTGAGGAGGATATCTTGGTGAGAAAAGAACTTGAAGAAATTGCCAGGATTCACTCAGAACAGTTCCACCTATGGTACACCCTGGACAGGCCTCCTGTTGGTATGATCCCCATTGCCCTAACCCAGACATCAAGGATTGGTCTCTGTTTTTTGGTTTCTTGAGGACTGGATTGGTGGGTAGGGGCTTGGACTCTGGCTCAAGTTGGAAAATGCAAGAATTTGAGGGAGAGGATTTGAGATGACTTGCTTATATGGACAGTCAAGGGCAAGTGTCTAGTATCTTAGCAGCACTCCACATGTTGCACTGACCGTCTAGAGCAGCAGTTCTGTACCTGTGGGTTGCGACCCACAGGAACTGTATTAAAGGGTCACAGCAGTAGGAAGGTTGAGAACCACTGGTCTAGAGGGACACTGAGCCATCTGAACACCCACCCCACATGGCCATCACACAGACCGCATCTGATAAGGGCACTCATCCTTCACTATTCATGCCTCTGCTCACGGCCACTGTCCCCTTCACTGTCCACCTCACCTGGATGGTAGTCTTTACATCCGTAGTCCCTGACAGCTGCTGTGACCTCAGCCAGCACCCCAGCAACCACCTCCTATGCTACGCCCTGCTGTATGTGTCTTGTCATGCAGCTCTCTGCTCAGCAGAGGGCACTACTGGACTGAGCAGTTCCAAGCGATTCCATAAACACACTACAACCTGGTATGCCTCACTCTGGGGTTCTGCATTCTCAGAACTCCAGCTTGTATCTCCCACAGCTGTTTTCTGCTTCCGCTTCCTTTCAGGCTGGAAGTACAGCTCAGGCTTCGTTAATGCTGACATGATCAAGGAGCACCTCCCTCCACCTGGGAAGTCCACTCTCATCCTGGTGTGTGGCCCACCACCCCTGATCCAGACAGCTGCTCACCCTAACCTGGAGAAGCTGGGTTACACCGGTGACATGATTTTTACCTACTAACACCGCCTGTGCTCTTGGTTGATTTGCCTGGTCCCTTTCACATTTCAATAGCTCAGATTCACCACCTTAAAAAGAGATGTTTTCAGAAGTGCCTCACCATGCACCTTTGAGCACACAATGCTTATCCTCTTTGGGGCATGGGCCTAAGAAAGGCTCAGTGGGCTGGAGACAAAGTGGCTTCTGAAGTCTCCTTGCTTGGAGGCTGGGAAGAGCTCCATTTCAGTATCCTGCTCCATGGTTTCATGAAATAAACTTCAGTACAAAGCAGATAACCTGTGAAGTGTGCTCTATGGAGAACCCCCTTAGCTGTCAGGAAGCCTGGGCCTGTCCTGCATGTGAATTGGTTTCTGTATATTCAGGGGATTTAGAACTGACAAAGTGCCTGAGCAGATTTCCAAAAGAATCCAAGTGGGCCACATGGATCCTCAATGATCTCTTTTGAACCCTTCTCTCCAGAGTGTACTACTTTTAAGGTCAGATCTACTAGAGGGCACAGGCATCTTCCATGGACACTCTTCCTTCTCTTGTCAGAGGCCCTTGAAATGAGCATGGTGTTAAAAAAAAAAAAATGCACATCAAGACAACAAATCCACAGGGTAAGTGGGCTCCAGGAATCCTTCCTAGACTCCTTATACTTTGCACAGCAGATAGGGAGGCTGGGAGTGAATTTTTTGTTCATTTTTCAGCATTCTCTAATTGCTAGGTTTCAACCTGGCACTGGGGGATAGAGGAGGGATAATTCCATACAGAAGCTTCTCAATTTGCAAAATTAGCTTCTAATGCTTTAAGTCTCTTTTATCAGTAAACTGACATGATGCAGGTGACCACTTTTACCATCTGCCATTCACGGCTCAGAGCACATACTGCTGCTCCATTACCTGGGAGTGGGTAGAGCTGCTTCTGCACAATTGAGTTGAATCCTTGTGGTAAGTCAGATTCTGTGGTGACTTTGATCTCCAAGTTATATGTCATTCAGCCAGTGGTGGCAGATCTGGCTTCAAACCTAGGTTGTTTTAATAGCAGCAGTGATGGAACCTAGTGTCACACATCTCTTACTGGACATGTATGTGATATGAAGGAGGGGAGAGGAGAGGAACATGGTTCTGGGCAGCTCTCTGAAGTATAGCTATGTCTTGCCCACAGGAAGCCACACACAGGGATGTTGTCACAGGCCTGTGAGCAGTAGGAAGGAGGGGGCACTAGCCTTCATCCACCCACCCACCTGTTTAGTGCATCCCCAGTGAATCTCATACCAAAGGATAGTACTCTGCTGGGCACTTCACTGTAAGCAGGATGCTTCCCACAGATGTTTCTCTAAGAAGCAGATCTGACCACACTTCCCACCTGCTTTAAACCCCTTGCTGCTTTTACTCTATTCCCCGTCCTGGCTACCTCGTCCTTGTGACACATTCCAGGGCCTGACAAGACACCTTTCTTGACCTTCTGCTGACCTCATCAGCATCAGCTCACTCCTCCCCTGGACTCTCACCCTGCCCCATTCTCTAGCACAAACTCTAGTTAACAAAGACTAAAGAACAGGCTCAGGAAGACTCAAGATGGGAAGGGTTTCAGGTATTCACCTGTCATATCTGTGACTGAGGAGTTCTGAGCCCAAGGGTGACAGTATAAACCTGTGCTTACAGGAAGTCCCCCAGGCACAGGGTAGAGAGTGGAGGGGACAAATTGGAGTCCAGCTGCAGTGATCAGGTGAGAGACAATCTGAACGAGCCATCCCAGTGGGGAGGAGGGGGCTGCTTGAGAAGAGCACTGTGGCATGTGGGTGGGAGACAGAAAACAAGCTTTTGAGAAGATGGTGAGATTCTATAGACACATGTTGAGTTTGAGGTGTTCAAGGGCATTCCGCTGGGGGGAGCTGTTTCATCAGACATAGCTGAGGTTCCTGCCAGAAAGGCCTCCAAGACTGGTGTTTGTGTGTCTTGAGAAGCCTCTGCTCAGACAGGCACTGCAGATGAGGGTGATGGAGGCTGGCAGCCAGCAGTGGGGAAGGAGACCCTTGTTCTTCCCCTGCTCACATCCTAAATGCCCCCACCCCTCTGGATCCTGGCTGCCTCCTGTCATTTCACCCAGCTCAGTCGCTACAGAACACTGAGACTTTTTTCCAGTGGTTTTATGAATGAACAGCTCTTCCTGTTTGGTGTAAGAGCCTCCAGGCTGTCACCAGGAATGCATGTGCCCTTGAGTCTGCGCTTACGTCTCATTGCTTTTCCCACAAAAGTGGTCAGCAGTCCATGTATAAAAGTACAAAAGGTATAAAAGCTGCAGTGAAGAGCACAGCATGGTTGTAAACACACAGGGACACTAGGGCCACCTCCTGGACATGTGTCCCACAGGTCTGCTGTGTTCCTGCCAGCACCCTGTGCAAGACATCCTGGCAATCCTGACCAGGCTCTGCAGCTGGCTATGTGCCAGCTTCCCAATGAAGCAAAGGCTCGGGGCCCTGACACGTGCCTCTCTGGGCTCTTGGCCATGAAGAAAGTCATCTCCAGTCATCAGCGTTGGGAGCAGCCAGACGGGAATCATTCAGCAGCTGGTCCTGGCTCAGCATGGTCTGAAAGGGCACAGCCAAAGGGGCAGTTTAACAGGGTTGTGGTCAAGGCCCCTGTGGCAGCTACGTGGGAAGCCTAGGAACACTGGGCTCTACGTCTAATGTTGTGGTGTCCCAGGTACCCTAGGTGCTAGGTTAGAATAAACACTACTATTGAGATAAAAATAAATCACATGTCTTGGAGGTAAGGTTGCTACATCAAGGCCACTAAAAGTCTAGTAAAGGTCAGAAGGGTGAGGTTGGACAAATCCCTCTCAGTGTGTGAGCCAAGAAATAAAAAGGTTGAATAGAAGTGATCCAACTTGGGTCCAGGGAGACTCTCCTATCTTCTCCTTGGATACAGGCAAACTCCATCCTTGTCCCACTTCTAAATGTGCCTCAGTGGATGAGCCAGTGAAGTACAGTGGTAGGACCTCAGTGTGGGCAGACATAGTAGCCCATGAGTTCAGCGATGGGAAACCTGGGAACTAAAGAGCTCTGAAGTTATAGGCCTCAAAAAAAAAAAAAAAAAAGCTGTGCTCTACAGCCAGCCTTTTACTGCCAGGTCTACTCTGCTTATATACCTGGCAAGGAATATATGATCAGCCCTACTTACAGATAACTAAGCCAAGGCTCAGAAAGAGAATGACACACCCAAGGCCCTAGAGCTGGTAAAGGCAGAGGAGGGACTTGAGGGTCCTCTTCTCCCCAGACCAAGCTGCCTCCCCATGATGTGGTCTGTCCTCTAAACATGCTGGGACGTGCTCACATGCCTATGGTATCTGCTCAGTCAGAGGTGTGACGGGAAATGCACGTGTCTGTCTTGGGTGGAAAGGGCAGAAACTTGTCCATTAGCCTAGAGATGTGGCCTGGGCTTTGGGCTGACTAGACAAGACAGGTGACCCAGAGCTCTCACCTTGTTCTTGCCAGCTCTGAGACTTGGCAGAGGACCTGAGATGGAACATGCTTTTAGTTGGCCCCAGCTGAAGGCCCTTAGGCCTCCCTGATACACTTAGGAGCTCAAGGTCCAGGAACAGGCCAATGGAGAAGGGCCCTAGGATGAGTTAAGCTTCAGGACTGGCTCAGGCTCGGGCTCTAACCCTGGAACCCTGTGCCATTCTTTGCTCCTCCTCAGACCTTGTGCGCCACCACACTAAACTCACTGGGACTCTTTAGCACCAGCCCTACAGAGGGGAGAGGGTCAGAGTCCTACCGTAAGGCGGTGGATGTCTTGGGAGAGGAGCCCTATCTGCGTCATGGTGCCTTCTGAAGGTGCCATCTGTAAAATGGGCAGCAGCCTGGTCAGCACACACAGTGCAGCTCTGACTCACAGGGATGGCATGCAAGTCCTGTCCTGCTTGGGCCTGGCTTCTCCAGGGCTTACCGGAAGGAAGGGTAAGGAGTAGGTCAGGCCCTGAGGAGTGACATGTGGGTGGAGCACATGCTACTTCATTCCCTGGGGAAAGATGTCACTATCCTGCACTCCACACATATCTCCTGGGGCCCCACCCAGCACCAGCACTCAGGGTACACGGAGCCGGGGCCTGTCAGCAGCAGCCCTTCTGCACATGTTCAGAAGCTACTTCCAGGAGCAGAGGGCAGCAGGAATGAGGGCCTTCAAGATGCTGAACAGACTGACAATTTCCAGGAATCAACAGGAGCCAAGACATGAATGCCCTGGTAATAGGCATGCGTCCTTGGGAAGCTGCTGCTGGAGCTTCCTCACTGCCTGGGAGCCCACCTTGCTCCTCCCAGGTAATGCTGGCCTGCTGCATCTTCCCTAAATCTATATAGACAAGGTAGATTTGGAAGCATCCTCTGTAAGTATGGAAGGCTTCCAGTGTAACCCCTTATTTCTTATTTTCAGGTGGGAGAATTAAGGCCCATAGAAGGATTGAGACTTGCTTGTGGGCTGCACAGAGAATTAGTGGCAAAACAATTCCATGCAGGGTTTGGAGACAGGTGCATGCAGAGATTCTCTCTCCAGGACATGATAAGAAATAAAGAACAAAGCCTGCACTGGCTGCACTGGCCAGATGTCAACCTGAATGAGCACTTGTCAGCCAGCAGGCCTGGGCACGGGGATCAAATACCAGCACTGCCAGCTACAAGCCTGTGCCCACAACTCTCACCTCAGAGGAGGTAGCGGTATGAGGCAGCCAGTAGTTTTAGAAGCACATTTTATTTTATAGCGCCTCCATCTGGGACAGTATCAGCATAGCACACTGGAGCATCAGGCCCTGCTCTGGCCATCAGGTAGTTATGAGGCTGTTATTCTTCTGGAGCTGAGGCCCAGGGGACCCAGTGGAGCCAAAAGCTGCCATGAGGTGAACTGGAATCTTATGAGCAGGAGCCCAGACTGGCAAGGCACGTCTCTCTCTGGGTCCCTGGCCAGACAAGGCCCATCTGGAGGACCCATTATCAGCTAGTCAGCGTCTAAATCAAGATTGATCTGTTCCAGTCCTGCAGGCACAGACAGAACAACCCCCACCATAGTCACAAGCCCAGCTACACCCCCGAGAGAGAAGCTGGTAAACACACAAAAGAACATAGAGTCTTTCCAGCAAGGCTGCCCTTCTCATCTCCTCATGGCCCCTGCATTAGGTGGCTCATGCTGCTGAAATGGAAACCAGCTTTGGGGTCTGCATGACAGTTGTGACTTACAGTCAGAACATGTGTGACAAGGGAAGGGAAGCCTGCAGTAGCAAGACCACAGACCTCC